TATGTTAAATTTCTACTCATGATTGAGATACAAGCCTTGCAGACTTTTAACTTTAACCGGATAAATAAAGATAGTATACCATAATCATTTTTTTTAATGGAAAAGGAAGCAAACGAGCAGGTGGGCCACATGGTGCTACCACCAGTGTTCAGCGCCGCCCATGGACACTCACAACATCAGAGGAGTCACCAATGCGTTGCCGGTCTTTGTGGTAGGAACAGTCTCTCTTCCTGCCTGTCATTCATGACTCACTACTAGAATGTTCACTGGGCACAAACCCAGACAAATTTTTGAAGGCTCAATGTAAGAATCGATTTCCAATCTGCAGTTTTTGACCTGGTGCTCATCCCTAGTCACGCAATTGTGATTATCAATGTAGTGTTCATTAGCTAGTGTTATCCAGGTATTGATTTCAAGACATTAATACATCATCAATTGCCATCGACTTACTGATTTGACGTTTAACTTCTACTTTAAATACTCAAAAGTATAATATGGTGTTGATAAGAGTAAAGAAGTTGTAAATATATTTTATGTTGATTTTTTATCGTATAAGGTAGCAAGTTGCAACTATTCTATGGTCTGAGCAGTTGGGCATAGACGTCCAATGCTCTGTTCAGGTATGTAAAAAGTTTGCAAATGAGCTAGCGGTTCACCTGATGGAAAGTGATTACCGCTGCCAAACCTTTAACCAATGAGAACCAGTTACCGCAGTTACCTGAAGAAACCACAAGTGTAATTGGAGAGATTGGCGGCGTAAAAAGGAAACAAATATACTTAATACTACATGGGGTCAAAATATTACGTACACTATACACTTGATATTAAATAAAATAATTGTATCGAGTAGACACTTTCATTGGGTGGCGGGGTTGCTATGCTATTAATTGGTTCCGCGGTATTCTTCTTTGGGGTCGTGGTTTTCGGAATAATTAGTGTTTGTGTGACCAGCAAATACCTGGTGTGTGCGATCTGGTAGGCTGTTCCCAAGGAGGGTCAACGTCAGGCAGGTTGCTAGTGTAAAAAAACATAATCAAAATCGCTCACAACATGATTCACATGTGCCGACCCCACCTAGATGGGATAAGGGCATGCCCTTATGACTTACTTACTTACTTGGCTGGCTCAGCGAACCAAAGAGGATCTTGGCCTTCGACACGGAAAGACGCCACTGCTCTCTATTCTGGGCTGTTTCTTGCCAATTGGCTGATTGGAGAGCTCTCAGATCTTTATGGACTTCGTCTTTCCAGCGATATCTGGGGCGACCGACAGGACGCTTCACTTTTGGTTGCCCCATATATGCTCTCTTGACTGCACGAAACTCTTGAATGCCCTTATGAAAGAAAAAGAATTATCTAATCTCCGCTGCACAACCCACTTTGAAAAATTATTCAATTTTCCCGAGTATGTTATAAAAAGCATTCTATGACATCAGGTAATTAACAATGTTAGATTCGTAATATTTAACAAGATTCAGCACATATCAATTTTCTATAAAGGATTATATAATAGATTTCTTCATGATTACGTAGTAAAAAACAAAGTCGTCCCGCTGTCTGTCTGTCAGCATGTAGTCATGCTTAGATCTTTAAAACTACGCAACGGATCTCGATGTGTTTTTTTTACTAGATAGAGTGGTTCAAACGGAAGGTTTATATGTATAATACATTGCACCCGTGCGAAGCAGGGGCGGGACGCAAGTTGATTATAATTCTAATAAGAGTATTGAAAAAAGAACCACGTACAGGAGAATTTAGTAATCTATTACCACAAGGCATAGCTTGTAACCGTGTGAAAATGTTTGTTTCAGAGAAACGAACGCAGGACGTTAAACGCTTGTTTCATAGAAACGTTAAGCGAGTCTTGAATGACAACAAGCTCAAAATAAAGTGCCAACGTCACAGCGACCGCATAAACAGTATTCGAGCGTATAAGAACCGTAGAGCCTAATTTAATTATATTTATGTAGCATTCTAATAATAAAAAATGTTGCAGCTTTTTAAAAAAAAATGTCCCAATGGTATGGGAGTATCATCATGACTTACTCTGGACTTGCAAGTCCCAAGCCGCTACTTATTTTATACTTAAATAATTTATATTGTACTTGTATAAAAAAAGGGACGATAAGTTGCTATGTTCAATGTTGTTATGATGCGAGGTCTAGTTTAGTGAGTCGGTGGCAGTTTTGGTTTTGAGAAAATCAAATTTGTACACGTATAAATAAAAATGGGGTTGTGCGATGAATGAAAAGCTTGAGCATAAAATCTTAGGTCCTCAGGAATTAGAACTGGTTTTCAGTCGTATTAGTAAAAAGAGCAATGACTACTGGAATACCAATTTAATAAATCCTCCGATTATAATAATTAAACGGCATGTTTTTTATTTTGACAAAGTAATTACAGACTCGTGGTCCGTACTCTTTTTCGATTAATATATATATATATATATATATATAATTATATTAATCGAAAATAATATACAAAATATACATATATATAAAATAATATTATATATATTTTTGATCCACACAGTTTTTGCTGTTAGTAGAATTGACGGAGATCTCGTCGTCGCAAACGGAATGTTGAGATGAAGAAGTTGTTCAAAACGGTGTCGAGTTTAGAAATTGCCGAGAGCTGTTTATAATAGAGAGCAATAATGGCTGAGGTTTGCAACGTTACGCAAACACCTGCCTTCGTAGCCTGTTCGCGATAAAGCACGAGTGCGGTGCCTACGACTGCGTTCCTAAAAGGCAAAATGTGTCGATCTGATATAACAATGGGGTGTCGAGTTGCCTCGTCTGATTACGTGAAGCGTATTACGGGATCACACATTACGCTTGACTGCTAAAATTTGCCGCCATTTGATATTACAATAGTTCTAATGTTAACTAAACAACAGATTAAATGAAGATACGCATTTAATTTCGAAACATCGTGACTTTAAAATCAAAATAGAACTTGATGAAATCCGTAAAATAGTGTCATTTAACCATGTACAGTCATCACCATCATCGAAACATGTGAATCATGTTTTAAGCGGTTTTTGGGTAGATTTTTTTACGACCGGTCGCCTGCCTGACGTCTACCCTCCTTGGGAAACAAACACCCAGATCCGGAACAATTATCTATGGGTCATACAAATACTTGTTCCGCATGTAACAAAATCTTAGGTCGCGGCGTGGTGCCAAAAAAGTAGCTGCGTTTACTTTCTGAATGATTTTTTCTTATCCTATTCCCCTTGGCCTCTTGTTTTATTCTTCAAATTGCATATTCTTTTGCAAACTTTTTGTATGCCCAATTATGAAAAGGTTGTCAACGCATCAACGCATCTGTAACCGTCGGGTGTGGCAGATGTCCCTGGGCGCCGGTATTCACTTAACATCAGGTGAACCGTCTGCTCGTTTGACAACTTTTCGCATAAAATAAAATAAAAAATAAAATGTTTCCGCTATTCGTTAAATGAATTTAACTCAATTAGATTTTTTTTGAAAATTGTCGACAAATTTATCACATTATTGCTATCAGGATTAAACTTCGTCTTTCATCCTCTTCCAAGACTATAACTAGATAGTTATATTTTATTTTATTTTTTATGCTAGTCTTTGCATTACTAAACATAAAATGTGTTGATAAATTGTTGAATTTTTTTTGTATTGCCGGGATTCCGGGTAACGCCTCCAGACGCTCTTACCACTTTCTTATCTACTTTGTTCTTATTGCGTTTTTAGCAATGCTTTGCACCGTTCTTCATCTTAAGTGCAGACATGCCTTTGTATGCGAGTAAGTGGATGTTAAGTAATCCTTGAGTGACGGCGATCACTTATCAAGTGATGAATCGCTTGCTCAGACGCCAACTTATCTATACAGTAACAACTTGCCACATCATTACACCGTTGGTATGAGTCGTAAGAACTGCTACGGATACTGACTGTTTTAACAAACTCTAAAGAGTCACTATCATTCATAGCTTATGTTAAGAGCCTATCGTTATAATATTTGATGAATTGTAGCATAGATTTGTAATCGTGTAATCGGTGAGATTAAATAATTTATTCTTTAAACATAATCAGTAATTAGTGGGCCTTTATCTATTTTGTTAATCAGTGCATAGACAAATCTAACAATAGGAATTAAGTTATTACGGCATGAATATCGTAAAACGACTATTAGTAAGGAGGCGATGGCCTAGTGGTGATGTCTGAGTTGTGATCCCGGGGTAGGTCCCGGGTTCAAGTTTCAATGTCGCGCACTGAAGGCGTGACGTACCTTTTATGAATGTTGTAAGGTAAAAATTCAACGTCTCACACGATGCCCTACGATCGTAAGTTGTCTTTATTTCGGTTTAGTAATAATGAAGTTCGGTAACAGGCTAAACAGAGCATTATTATTGTCGTTGCATGTTTATTTAAGTTTATATTTGTCCTCTTCTATTTTTCAACAGTTCGTTCTACAAAGTGTAGCAAAAACGTTACAAATGCGCTAAAAAAATCAAGATTCAAATTATGCGACTAAAAGAGAACCCTTAAAGAAAAGCCGTAACTAGTGCTCGTGGGCGTGCAAACTTCAGAAAAATATTTTCGCAAGTGCTGACAAAATTCTTCGTTTGAAGTGATCAATGGTAGGCATTGAACACTAGTACTCAAGTTAGGATACCGAAATTAAGGATGGAGCGCAAATAGTGTGTGCCCATAAAGACGCTTTTCAGCTCTTATGAAACAAAAGGAACACTATAGATAAGTCTTTATATTGTATTTTGTCTCAATTACAATATTCGTGTTATGTCTGCTGTATTGAAAACTAATAAATAAATAATAAAACGGGTCGAAAAATCCAGATAAAGCGAGTCCGACCAAACCTTCGAGGCATGGCCAGTTACTACTTACTATTAAACAAGATATATTCGGCTACGAATTTTCGCATATACCAAGACAGTGCCGTCTATCACTATCACTATGTTTTTATCTTATCATATCACGCCGTGATAGCCCGTGACATATTCAGTCAGTGGCACAAGTGCGGCGAGCACGTAGTGTGGTTGCTAGTTTTCTTATTAATCGAGTTGCAGCCCGCGACATTCCGATAAAGTTGGCCAAAAGTAAGTGGACGATAATGGAGATTATACCGTGATTATGATTTAGTTAACAATGGCTGTCGGCATAGCTGGCTATGGAATCGTTCGAGGCTAGGAACTGCGTGCAAATTCAGTGCTAGTTTGACAACTTAAATTCGCGGCGTAAATAACTTTATTGATTATCATGCGTAAAAATAAACTATTAAGTGTTTATAATTTTAAACATTGTTAAATAAATACTGTTTGTTTAGCAACGTTTTGAAATTTAGCAGTGTCAAAAAATTATTCTTTCCACAAGCCCTTCGTGCATGTTTTGTTCTGCTCTGTGCATGTTTTGTTTGTCCATGAAGAAATAGAGATAGCCTGTTTGCAACTTTCGACAGTGCTCTCCGCTTATCCTGGGCTGAGGACAGGGTATTTTCATTACATCACATCGGTTAGGTATTTGCTTTTCAATTAAAAAGAAGTTTACGTAGCCAGTACGTTCGACGAAGCTTTAATAGTCTCGGGACTGAAAGCATTAATATCAGTCAATACAAGATATAAGAGCTTTCCAATAAGACAAGAATTTGAGTAAATCGACCGCAACAGCGTTACTTCATCCCAATTTCCGTTCCGCTTCCAGGCGAGACGGGGTGACGTGGAAAAAGTGACTTCAGTACTCGGGACCCTCGGGGAACACAGCCGCCATGCTGGCCGCGACCTTGACTACGCTTACACCGCGGATGCGCTTCAACTTCACGAAGCCGAACATAGAGAACTTGGTGTTCAAGATGCACTACAAAGTGACGGTGACCATGCTCCTGGCGTTCGTCATACTGGTGTGCGCGCGCGAGTACTTCGGGGAGCACATCAAGTGCATATCGGACCAGGGCGTGCCCGACCACGTCATACAGACCTACTGCTTCTTCATGGCCACGTTTACGATCGTAAGAGTTTTTTGTTCAGAGCTGACGGTTCACCTGATGGTATTTTTGTGATAAACGCCATCTGTGAACGTTCATAACACCTACGGGGTCACCTTTCAATGAAGTGTGCCCCGTATGACTCACTCACTCCCTTCTTATAATACTTCCACTTCATGCCGGTCCTCTGTGAGACCGTGGTACCTTCTCGGACGGACTTGACCATTCGTGCAACAGCCAATACCGCTACGCAGCTTTACCACAGTTGTAAGTGTGTATCTTTTTTTTTTCAAAAGGCAGATGAGAGCCTTTTCATTCCTCAAAGGTCACTCATCATTTGTCACTTCTCTGGTGTTGCGAGTGTTCATGGGCGGCGGTTAACACGCGTTGATTATCAGGTGGCCCGCCTGCTTGTTTACCCTTTTTTATAATATTTATATTTTATATTTCATGATTGTATTTTTATTTCATAATATAAATGAGGAATGTTTGGCTGTCGGTACAGTTGAGATGTGGACGGTGCTTTTGAGTCTTCATAGTGTGCGCACATAGTCTGCCTTTCTCGAAAGTGGCTGCAGTTTTTAAGAGATGGAAAGCGCATGCATTGGCAACTTTTTAAAGCGTGAGCCCCAGGTTGCTACTCACTTAATGATGCTCTAGATAAAAGCAAGAGTTTCTTCTTTTCCGTAAGTAGCATGGTGGTGTTCTCTACGGTACTTTCCCGGGAGGCCGAACCCATTCATGCAACGGAAGCCACTGTGACTACAGAAGAAAGTTGATAAAGATTATATCTTTATCGGATGAAGTAGCCGTTTTTTAGCCTAGAAAGGGCGCTTAGGGCTCATTAGAATCCAATGCATTTTTTGTGGTTCAGACACCCGTTGAAGAATCTTAAAAAGTTTTAATTTATACAAAAATGTAATTAACTACGAATTACCCATTTTTTATCAATTAAAATGTTGTTATAGTTTTGAAAACTTTCTAGGATTTTTATTAGTTCTCGGATTTTAATTGGAATATCCTAACAGTGTGACATCTTAAAGTTGGAGCCACAAAAAACATTCTATAAATACCCCCAAAACTACATGTGACAGTTAAATTGATTCATAGGTATTTTTTTTTTGAAGAAATACATTAATATTACTACTAACAGGTCCGACACTACAATGAGAGTCTCCTGCAACACGGCTTCTTGCCTCACCCTGGCGTGGGTCCTATAATGGAAACGGATAAGACGCTCCACCACACCTACTACCAATGGGTGCCGTTCGTGCTATTTATCCAGTCGATATGCTTCTACATGCCGCATTACATCTGGAAGAAGAAAGAAGGTACGATGTCTTTAAGCTCAGTGGACCTTTACATCTTAGGATTCGAATGATAAAGAGGACTGTCTTATTGAAATGACTAAAAGAACAAAGTAATTTGCCACGAAACTATTTGCCGTGGCCACCTTTCTGCCCAGCTATCATTTTATTAGCTAGAGTCAATAAGATTCTATTGAGAGTCAACACTTGCGATGAACACTTAACATCATGTGGTTAATTAGTCAACTACTATTCATCTTATGATAAAAAATATATTAAGAAAATAACGTATATATATGCTTTCATAATCCCCTACAAAGTCGAAGCACATGGTTTTTTTGTTCTTACCAGAATTTGTATTCGACGTGACGAAGACGTGTTTTGGGAAACTGTAGCAATAATTTTGTTAACCATTTAAATAAAGGTGGAAGGATCAGGGCTCTTGTCGACGGGTTGCAGTATGCCGGTCTCGCGCTCCATTCCGAAGAAATGAAGGCTGGCGCGATGACTGTACCGTCCAGGAAGACCATAGAAAACCAAGTCGACCTCATCAGGAAAGATATTATATTGAGGTAGCGTTTGCAAATAACTTGTGCGAATGATGTCTTATTAATTGATTTAACTGTTTTCGTTAAGACTGTACATAAAATGTTCTAACCGAATGAATGGTTCAGTTGGTGCAGAAAGCTACCAATTCAACTTTTAAACTGAGAAAATTACGACATATACCGTCCCTTTGTAATCTCTAAATCTGCATCATAGTGTTTTATTAATAATATCTGTTTTTTAGAAATTTAAATTGTTTATAGTGCTAATCTTTGCACTTAAGATTGAACATTAAAATATGTAGAAAAAGTGCGAAAAGATTGTCGCCGTTGTGGGAATCGAACCCACGAATCGAATCGAAACCCGAAATTGTTTGTATGCTGGAAAGGATATAACAATAGATGGCGCCAAGCATTGCTTCAAATGCTAAGAAAACAATGTGGAAGAATGCGTTAAGATTTTCCTCGGTGTGGCAATCAGCCGTTTAGCTCAGTGTCTAGAGCGTCAGGCCGCGAATGCCGAAGACGTGGGTTCGATTCCCACAACGGCGACAATCTTTTCGCACTTTTTCTACATATTTTAATATCTGTTTTGCCAAGACGGTTAGAATTCTTGGATGATAACTTCTAACTAACTGATAACTTCTATAGATGTCAACTTCTTAAACGATTTGACGCTCTTCTTTCTTTTAAAGACAAGTTATATTATAGAAGAGAAGAAGTTAGATTCAGAAGAGATAGTCTTCTACTACAGGAAAGAATAATTTACTGAGACCACTTCTCACTAAATTATTCCTTCCTGATTTCATTTTGTTTATTTATGATATTTTTGTATATTAAATATTAAATAGAGATTTGCAACTTACCAGTAAAACATGGCGGAAAATAAATTATTTTCAAATATTTGTTTGTATGGCATCATCATGTTAGAACTTTTTGTGACCTGTATACAGATCTTATTATTAATGGCCAATTTTGTCACATTTATTCGGTACCTTTAGAAGTAAGTCAGCAGGTATGTGACGTCAGGAAGAGATTCCTTTTATTGATAAGATGGCCTGATCTCATTCTGTCCATCTAAATACTTATTATCTATGCAAGGATGTCGATTGATTGATTGCTCATAAAAGTTCACGCGTTTCATTGTTCCAGGTTGCGTGTAACCCGCACGTGGTCAACGTGGCTGGTGTCCATGGAGGTGGTGAACCTGTTGCATCTGATGTTCCAGATTTGGATGATTGACGTGTTTCTTAACGGGGAGTTCATCAGCCTGGGCTCAAACGTACTGTCCTACAAGGATTGGGAGCAGATCTCCGATCCGCTGGAGACGATATTTCCAAAAGTAAGGTTACTTTTAGGATAACTTTTTTATACAGTTACTCAGCTTCTGCGGCCGATTAACTGAGTTGGCTCGTACGAAGAAGTAAAATGAGCTCATGAATCAGGCCTAAAGTTGAAATATTCATATTTTCGCATTTAATCACTTAAAAAAAAACTTGCAAGAATTCCCGTCTTATCAACCACTTGTTTGGGTCTAAACATGCAAATTTATACTAACATCTATCTTTGTCTTCTCGATTGGATGCGGTAGACTTGACAGTTTGTCATTTTATCGATTTCATACTTACACTCTCAAATTCACGTGTAACACTACTTAATGACGTCAATTGCGTTTGAGTGACAACTGAGATGTTTACGTTTCCCCTCCTGTCTCGTGGGTACCTATTGAAATTTAGCAAAAATCACGGTAGAGAAGGTTTTGCCAAATTATATAAAATTGAATTTTACTTCCTTTGGTGCCGCCATACACCTATGTAACGTCATACACACGTCGACATACGTCGTAGTAGGCCGATGAGTGTTCACACGGTTCACTCCTTCAAAGACCATCAACGCGCCCATAACATCTGCTGTGTTGCAGATTCACGATTCACCTATTATACTTTATTTTTACATTTATATAGATAAGTCACTATTAAGTGAATCGGTTAATCTTTTAATACCTTCTCCGGAAGCCGTAGGTAATCATTATAATCGTATCAATTTTGTTACATTTTCTTTTTCTATAATTTTTCAGGTGACCAAGTGTTTGTTCCATAAGTACGGTCCGAGTGGCTCTATACAGCAGCACGACGCACTCTGTGTTATGGCTCTCAACATCATCCACGAGAAGATTTACACAATCTTGTGGTTCTGGTTCCTCTTTCTCTTCATTGCCTCATTACTCGGTGAGTCTTGCTTCTATAAAATTCTTACTTACTTTATACTTACTTATCTTCCTCAGATAAAGTAGCAGATTAAATTTTTCTTAACATTCCCACCGAGAGGAAGGAGGATGTATAGCAGCTGATACCAACCCATTTCCCTGAAGATTGACGGAAATCGATTTTTTATTTTTATACTACTACCAATAAAGTTCAGAATTTCGTCTGGTGTGTGAGGTGTACGAGGCCAGATAATTTTTTAAAAGTTGTTAACGCATCTAGCGCTTCAGACATTATGAAGTCCACGGGAAGTATGAGGTTTTTAACCGCCTGCTCCTTTTATATTTTTTCACTTAAAAAACAATTATGGATTTACATTTATTAATATAACTATTACATTCATATAAGCGTTAGACAGTAGATGCGTCAAGCATTGCTTCAAATGCTAAATAACAATGTAGAAAGAAGGCGTTAAGATTTTCGTCGCGGTGGGTATCAGCCGTTTAGCTCAGTGGCTAGAGCGTCAGTCGCGAATGCCGAAGACGTGGGTTCAATTCCCACAGCGGCAACAATCTTTTCGTACTTTTTCTACATGTTTTAATAAGCGTTAGACTTTACTTGAGAATCAGAGTGCATGCCTGCATGTAAGGTTTTGCGCGCGCGTGTGAACCTTGTCGGATTATTATTCGCCACAAAATTTTTGTGTATCTTTTTTGTATTCCTATTTTTCGTTAACCGTTTATCTTGTATGGAGCGAATACTTTTATGTCTTACTAAATTACACAATCAAAAAGCGACAACATAATCATATAAAATACTACATTTAATAAGAAAATTTGACTTCATAAAAATGTTTCTCAAGGCTACTTCTTATTTAAATTTATTCTTAGCCAACGCTATTTCATAATTTATGTATGACAGAAAAGACCTGGCTTAAAACAAAGTTGTCAATGATAAAATTCATCTTTCATTCCAAAAATTTGTACCGAGCATTCAAATGCAAAGCTAGTATCATTTCCCAACATCTCGGTCCGACAGGTCTTGTTCAACAAGGCAGCCTTGACTAATTTCTTTAAAAATATTGTCCACGCAAATGTCCCTGCCTATTGCTGATTTCGTTTTGACTTTATCTGTTTCAGCCGTTATTTGGCGAGTGATCTCCTTCTTCTTCTACCGCCGCTCGCTCAAGTTCAACCAGCTCGTGTTCCGGAACGTCACTGCCGGCAAGTTCAACCCCCACAACGTGATCAGGGTCGTCAACGGCTGCGAGTTTGCCGACTGGCTGTTCCTCTACTACCTCGCCAAGAACATGAAGAGCTCCGTCTTCCAGTGAGTATTATCAAAGCCTAGTCGCCCACGCGTGTTGTCTATGTCAATGAGCACTGCGATTTTGCGTCAATCACATATCAAACAGTATCTTTCCTAAAATCACTTCATCCTCAAAATTTTACCGCCGTAGGACCACGCAACAGTCCTCACTGTTGCACGAATGGGCAGGTCCGTCCGGGGAAGTACCGCGACCTCACGGAAGACCGGCGTGAAGTGGAAGTGTTACACTTCTGGCTTTCTTCCGGTGAATGATAAGTGAGTGAATGGGGACCACTTTATCAAAAAGTGGCAGGGCATCTGCACCCCTGTAACTAGGGTGTTGCAAATGTCCATGGGCGGCGGTTGTCACTTAAGATCAGATGAAACGTCTGCTCGCACGCTACCATCTCACATAATAAAAAAGTTAAACGACCACATACGTCTTCTTTAAAAGCTGCCACGAATTTAGATATTGTGTCACCTTAAGAAGCTAATCACAATGCAACAACCTTTAGTGGCCCTTAATAATCTGCTAATCCTTACTACTTAATACAGTACATACATACTAAATGTCAGTTAAAAACTCTGTGGCAACTCTCAGGGAACTGTACGTACGTCTCGCCGAGGAGTTGGAGAAGCGGGAGCTGCCGTACGAGCAGGACGGCCACGAGGAAAAGGGGGCGGAGCCGGTCCTGGTCAGCAAGGTGGACTACGCGGACGAGACTCTACCTCTGAGGGAAAAGTCCGCGTAGCACAGTAACTTAAGTTGAGCTTGTACTGTACGTGTTTAGTGCTACGAAAGAGATGAGCTCAGCTGTTTAAATGGCGACTTTTTACCGCGAGCAAAATGCCCTGACACACTTGTGTGTCTAGGATATGTCAAATGCAATACTTAATAAGACGTCAGAGTGCCTAATGTGAAGACGACTTTTGTCCAGAAGTGAGGCATAATTATGTATATAATTCGTTTTATACAGTGGCTTTATGTGAATTAAGAAGAATGCACGCAATCGTCATTATTCTCAATGGCAAACGTCTTGAGAATCAAGTTCATATAAAGTAAATTACCAAAGTTTCATCGAAAATGTTCGGAGCCCTGTATTTGAAATTATTTTATGTTTGATGAGTTTGATGGCGATGTGATATCGATTGAATTTAGAAAATAGCTTTAAAGGATTAAGTACTTTGCTATTAGCTGTTAAGGAGTTTAGGATTCGAGCTTTGTCACGCTCTTTTGTTTGGCTTAAGAGAACGGTGGTATGGCTTTTCTCCTGTTAGATTTATCAAAAACAAAAATTTGTTTCTGGAGCATTATCGTATCTCCAGATAAGAACAAGAAGACTAAAGAAATACCAGACTTCACAGACAATTTATTTTTTGTCGTTATTGACAAAGACGTTATGCATATATCATTTTTAAGAGATATTCGAGAAGAAATTTATTAGAATAAGTGATCGATTTAAAAAATATGCAAAATTTCGAACGTCTAAAAGTATTTTTTTATTTACATTGACATTCCCGATTTGTTCACCATAAATGGGGGTTATGTTGCCAATTTGTAAATTTTGTATAATTTTTTATGAATTTAGTTAACATAATTACAATTTGTAAGGAATAAATAGACATTTTTTTTATAATTTGTATTTTTATTAAATACTAGCGACCTGCCCCGGCTTCGCAGATGTGTGATGCATTATACGTATAAACCTTCCTCTTGAATCACTCTATATAGTAAGAAAAACCACATCAAGATCCGTTGTGGAGTTTTAAAGATCAAAGCATACATAGGGACAGACAGACAGCGGGACGCCTTTCTTTTATACTATGTAGTGATCCTCTTAACCTCAAACTAATATAAAAATTATATTTAAATATTAATTATTAATCAATTATTACAAAATTATAAAAAAAGCATTTGGCAAAACTGTTTCGTTTACGTCTTGAATACTTTATAATAGTTATGTTATGTTTATAATAGTGTGTCGGTGATTATTATAGTTCGGTGTTTGTGGTTTTTTTTTAAGTACAGTCACAACTACTAAGAGAACGTTGGTTTTGACGTATCATCGCTTGAGCAATTTAAAATTGCCTAAGCGATGACATCAAGTTAATTACAGTCTGAGTGAAAAATTTGCGATCACACTGTTAATTCGTTAGATGACGTGAAATATTGATGACAGATGGTGTCGCCTATGATTTTACATATAAGTCAGTTTTAGCGTAGCTCGGGTAATTGGGGAAGCAGCCATATACCGTGGTAGTTCCCAATAGTTTCGCACACGTACTAATTAAAGCGACAGCATAGAGCTAAGCGGATTTCTGTTTGAATTTATAGGCAAAGGGTTGTATACATTCCATCAAAAACAATAAAAAAAAAATTCTTGATAGCTCTAAGATACCTTTCCTATCAGGTATTGGAAGTTGTAAATAAAGGTTAATTGGCAGACATAGGTTATGAATGTGCACAAAGAGTTTTTATATGTGAAAAGGATTTTGGTTTCTTTTTAAATGCCAGCGAGATGGCGATTCACCTGACGTTAAGTGATAACCGCCGCCCATTGACATTTGCAACATCCGTAGCATTGCAGATACGTTGCCTTTTTACAAACCGACCTTGGTTACCTATGGGCTACGTTACTCAGCAGACGGAACGCAGAAGTATAATGAATCGGAAGGCGAAGGGCTCGGAGAATGATTCTAGTAGTCCTATGTTGAATATATATTAATCTAGTCCCAAACTAAGCAACGCTTGTACTGCGGTACTAGATAACTGATAAAAATAATTTATAATACTGCACTTTTGTAATTGAATACATTACTTTCATAAACAACCAGACACAAAAACACTACTTTCATCACACAAAATTTCTCCAGTGAGGATCGAACGAACACCGTCTTTCGCAAGAGGCGATTCACTACCCGCTAGGCCAATCGGGATAATGGGTCGCCCTAGTAGAGAGTTGAAAACTTTCTTCTATGTTCTTATGCACACTGGAAAGGCTACGCGACAGCTTATGCTGTTGCAGGAATGGCAGGCCTGCGGAATATACCACGATTTCACAGAAGACCAGCTTGATGCGGTAGTAGGTGCCGAGCGTGCGAATAGCAGACTAGTAGATAGATATGCAAGTAAATTTTAACGAGTGGATCCACATGTTTACTTACGCCTCTTTAAGAAAATCGGGTATTCATTACGGTATTTACTACGAGCACGATGAATCATTATAAAAACATAACGGTACGATAGTACACGGCCGGTTTTCTGTCGCACGGTTTTGGTACCAGTAACGAAGTCTTTTGTCTTCCGCTGTCTCGTCTACGGTTATAACTACAACTTCCATCATGAAAATATGCCGCCACTTTAAAAGCCGCGAATCGATTCCAGCATCGCGTTAACACCAGTCGTCGTCAGCCGCGAGGCGTTACATTTAATTTGATATTAAGTAATGATCGGGCCGGAGGCGCCGATTTGCCGGCACTGGTCCCGCGGGTCGCCCGCGTCTGTTGACCCGCCGCGGATGCTGCGGGAGGCGTCATCACGGAAGTTAAAACAAGTCCATTTTTATACAACCGAAAAACAAAATCGACTGCAAATACCATACTATAAGTGGTTTTTTGATTGATAACCCGATTGGTAGTGGGTAGTGAATCCGTCTCTTGCATCAGAGGGTGTGGTTTCGATCCCCACTACTAGAAAACTATTGTGAGATGAGTATAGTGTTTTTTCAGTATCTGTTATGTATTTATGTACAAAAAAAATGTGTTTAAGTATGTTTATCTGTTCTCTAGTACACATAGAACAAGTGTTGCTTAGTTTGGGACTAGATAATGTTGAGTAAAAATGTGTCCTAACAAGTTTCTAACGAAAAACAAAACCGACTCCAACTACTACGACTAATATTCATTTTATAATTGATTTTTAGGAGTTCCCTACGTATCTCCGGAGCCAAAGATGAAATACCGATGAAATTAATATGAGATGACATGGGAAGCACCAGCTTTCAAATAAAAAAGAGTCATCAAAATCGGTTCATCCAGTCAAAAGTTCTGAGATAACAAACACAAAAAAAATTACTGTCGAATTGACAACCTTTTTTGAAGTCGGTTAAAAAAATAAGTAGCTCCCTATATATCCTGGGCAAAGTTCTGCTCTGCACAGAGGGTATAGTCTGCCGATCCGCCTTGGAGCGGTATGATGGACTATGGTGGCCAATCAAACGTTAGTACGGTGTTAAGATACTTACCTAGTATGTAAACATTCGATGAGATAGGAAGCACGTATATCCATTTGGGTTCTAGGTTATGGGTCAAACGAGAAGCATTCGTGCGTATAAAACGGAGTTTTTTAGCTCGTACGTGACTTTATAATACTTTGAAAAATATTTCTGAACTGGCCTCGGAGTAGGAGGTGAGGAGTTTTTTAATTGCTTATACCTCGTACGTGTCTAAATAATATTTCGAAAAATAATAAGAAACGGACTATTTTCGCGGACCTTGAATCCGACGAAGCTTTAACATAGGATAAAATGAATATAGACTAAAAAGGTAAGCAGTCTTACAACATTGAAGTGACGTGGTACCATGTAACATTACTTCTAAATTCAGCAATCTTTCCGAACGCGTGTGAAACAAATGATCCGAACGCGTGTGAAATGTTAGAAATATTCGTAACAAATCAAGGTTTTACACTTAATTATAGTACTAATTGTGTTGATCAAATTAAAGCCTACATAAAGTCTACTTCTAATTGATATTTACGATGTGTCAATAATTTATTAAAACTCAAAGGTATAAACAATTAATAGAACAATCATTTTTAAGTACTAAAATAATTCTTAAGCTGTTACGGTTTACACTTTTACGCGATATGTTTGTATACATTAAAGTTAAAGCAAAAAAGAAGTTATAATTACTTAATATGATAATATAAACATTTTCTAATATACTTTGTCGATAAAGTTAAGATTATAGACTTTTAGTTTTGCAATACGATGCTTTTATTAGATAACCTGTTTACTTGATTTCACATGGTTTGATTGCTGATGGTTTTAAAAATAATAACAAAATAAGAAAGGATATTTGAAAAGAGTTTGTTATGGAGTTCAATAAGTTCTGAAATGAAGTCCATACACGACATAAAGTATTTTTGATTACGAACAAAGTGATGGGGACTCATTGGGCGCGTAAAATGCTTTGCGGTGTGCTTTTAAAGTGCATTTTAAAGATGGTCTCATATTGATCACGTCCCGAAGCACTCGCCCGGTACCTGGAATTTCGGTCGCACAGGTAGCGGGGGCCCGACTGGTTTGTTACGGGCAACTCGCACTCACACACGTCAAACTCGTGTCTGTCTCGCCAGCGCTGCTCAAAGTTTACGATTTCTTTTAGTTTTATGAGCGCCTAGTCAATATCCGACACGATGTTTGAATGAATGAATGAATGAATACAGTTTTATTGTCCACCACAAATAAGAATGTACATAAAAGTAGCAATAGAACAACAAATTTATGCAATATACAATTTGGCGGCCTTATCGCTTCATAGCGATCTCTTCCAGGCAACCAATGGTTTAAAGGAAACGTATACTACGTAGAAATATACATAATATATTATCAAAGCAGATACATACGTTTATACATACATATCAATATATAAAATATATATATATATTTATATATATTATTCATATATACATATATATAATCATCATTTCAGCCTGTCCGAGTCCACTGCTGAACATAGGCCTCCCCCATAGACTGCCATGAAGTACGATCCTGAGCCACCTGCATCCATCGACTTCCCGCACATTTGCACAGGTCGTCACTCCATCTAGTGGGGGGTCGTCCTACACTGCGATGGCCAGTACGAGGCTGCCACTCGAGAACCTTTCTTCCCCAACTGGCCGGCCCATCGCCACTTCAGCTTGCTAATCCTCTGAGCTATATCGGTTATCTTAGTTCTACTGCGGATGTCTTCGTTACGAACTCTATCACGCAGAGAAATACCGAGCATAGCCCGCTCCATAGCTCGCTGAGCGACTTTGAGCTTCCTCATACGGCCAGCAGTGAAGGACCATGTCTCGGTTCCGTAGGTCATCACTGGCAACACACATTGATTGAAGACTTTAGTCTTCCAAACATTGAGGTATATTCGACGAGAAGATTTGCCGAAGTTTCCCGAACGCTGCCCATCCGAGTTGGATTCGCCGATTGACCTCTGCGTCGATGTTGGACTTACCTAGCCGGACTAACTGTCCTAGGTAAACGTACTCGTCAACAACTTCGAGCTCAGTGCTCCCAACAACAACCGGTATAGGCGTGACATGGACATTAGACATGATCTTCGTCTTGTCCATGTTCATCTTAAGGCTCACCCGTTGGGAGACACTGTTGAGGTCATTGAGCATAGCACCCAGGTCCTCCAGCGATTCTGCCATGATGACTATATCGTCGGCAAATCGAAGGTGGGTGATGTATTCGCCATTGATGTTAATACCTCGTCCTTTCCAGTCCAGAAGCTTGAAAACATCTTCCAACGCAGCGGTGAAGAGTTTCGGGGATATGACATCACCCTGTCTTACACCCTTCTGCAGTTGGATAGGTTTTGCACTACTGGACTGTACTTGGACGGACATCGTAGCCTTGCTATACAAACACCTCAGCACTTCGATATACCGACAGTCAATTTGGCACCGCTGAAGAGCCTGAAGTACCGCCCACATTTCGACAGAATCGAAGGCTTTCTCATAGTCCACATACGCTAGGCATAAGGGCAGATTACACTCTTCGGTCTTCTGTATAATCTGCCGCAAGGTGTGTATGTGGTCTATGGTACTGAAGCCTTTTCGGAATCCGGCTTGTTCGGGAGGCTGGAAGTCGTCGATTCTGGAAGCGAGACGATTCAAGATGACTCTTGAGAACAGCACATAGACGCGGCTCAGAAGGGATATCGGTCTATAGTTCTTCAAGAGAGCGTTATCGCCTTTCTTGAAGAACAGCACCACCACACTTCTGCTCCACGCCTCTGGTGTAGTGCCACCCTGAAGGACGGAATTAAAGAGCCTCTGAAGGACTACAAGTACCGGTTCTCCACCCGCTTTCAGAAGCTCTGCTGTAATTCCGTCCTCTCCCGGTGCTTTGCCATTCTTAAGATGGTTAAGAGCAATTCTAATCTCGCTCAGACTAACGTGCGGGATATTTTCGGAATAGTGTCGGATAAGCTTTGCTCTTGGGTCGTTACTCACATATGTGTGTGGCTCCAACGACGATGTGTACAGCTGTCCATAGAACCTCTCAATCTCACTCAAAACCTCTGGTCTACTGGAGATGATAGCCCCGCTGTCAGTCTTCAACTTAGTCAGTTGGCTTTGTCCGATAGACAGATCTCTGGCGAAGACTTTTGAGCCTAGGTTCTGCTCTATAGCACCCTCAATACGAGCTGTATTGAAGTTGCGTAAGTCTCGCCGCATGTATTTGGAGATCTGCCTATTAAGCCTCTGACATGTCAGTTGAAGACTGCAGCCGCATCTCACGTCTTTTTCCCAAGAGGCTAAGAGTGTGATCGGAGAGTTTTTGCGTTCTATTTGTGCGGCGGGCCTTATTAATTTTAAGGCCCATGGCATGGACAGTTTCCACGAGCTTAGCGTTAATATCGTCCACAGTGCTGCAATTTTCTAGGCATTGGAAGCAATTATGTAGCTCGAGCTGAAGGCTTTCGGAGTTCTGGATATGGGCACGAGATGGTCGGAGTGTGGACTTCATTAGACGAGATATTTCCAGCCTGATGTTAATATTCAATGTGCCTCTCACCAATCGGTGATCACTGCCGGTCTTCACCCTTGTGATCACAGAGTCATCATTGAATATTTGCCGTTTGTTCGTCATAATGAAGTCTATCTCGTTCTTTACGGAACCATCGGGGCTAATCCAGGTCCACTTTCTGTGGGGCTGCTTTTTGAAGAAGGAGTTCATCATAAAGAGTCCCTCCTTCTCCATAAAGTCAGCCAGCTGCTGCCCCCTTGGGTTCCGTTGCCCTATTCCAAAACTACCTACTCTCAACTCATCGTCTTTCCTTTTGCCTAGTTTTGCGTTGAAGTCTCGCATTAACACCATGTACTGAGTTTTGGAGGAATGTATGGCTCGTGATATATCCTCATACATTGCCTCCACCTCATCATCGGGATGTGTCGACGTTGGTGCGTAAACCTCTATGACCTTCAGCGAATACCGATTGGATATTCTGAGTATAAGGTACGCAACCCTCGAGGACACACTCTCGATTTTAACAACGTTGTTAATGAGAGACTTGTGGACGATAAATCCGACACCTCCTTGGGACAGTTGGTCGCCCTCCCGGTGGTAAAACAGGTTGCCGGATTCCAGGATTATCGTGTCCTCCCCCTGTCTTCGGACTTCAGATAATCCTATTATATCCCAGCGCAGCCTGTTCACTTCTTCTTCCAGCTCTGTAATCTTCTCGTCAGTCCTCAATGTTCTTGCGTTGTATGTTGCCAGGTCCAGTCGCCGTCGTTGGTAGCCGAATCCTAGCCGGGGATTCTTAGCACCCCCTGCCCTGCCGTTACCCTGACCGCTACCGTAGCCAGGAATAGCAGGGCTGCCGGAGACTGGGGGCCGCACATTTTGGACTTCTATCATGTAGGGGGGTTTTGCCATAGTTGCCACGCCTGGCAAGCGGGTTGGCAACCGCAGTTCCTCCAGACTCCTTGCACCTATAATGCGGCTGCCCATTATTGGCCTGGCTATTTAGGGTCTGGAGAGTCGAGATGGTTATCCCGCCATCTATCGGCGGCCACCAGATGTTTGTGGCTTGTCCCTTAGTCGCCTCTTACGACACCCACGGGATGAGATGGGGTGGCCTATTCTTACGCCGGCACCACACGGCAATTCATATATATATATATATATATATATATGAACAAGCTATTCCCGTCAAAATCGTCATAAAGTAGAAGTTTCTACGCTTATTTTTGATTAACTAGTTTACGGATTTCATTTTCTTTTTGTATTTGGTTTCGAATACTTTACAACCGTCATGGTCAGTACACTAGTTTACTTTTTAAACAAAATATTTACAAGATTAAATCTATCTAAAATTACATATTATCTAATAAACCTTAATCCAGGCGGCATGGTGCCAAGAACGCTAGCTGCATTTCCTCGCTAATTCATAGTTTAATTAAAATGTGTTATATTAGGGTAAATGAAAGAAATTATTGTATCGTTTGCAGTTAGACCGCTCGTGAGGTAGTCTGGGCTATGCACTTAAAGGTTGTCAATGCAACCGTAATCCAATGAACTTGTGGAAGTATAAAATAAATAAATATTTTCGGATACATTTTTAGACTCTTGTTCTCTAATCCCAAACTAAGCACGCTTGTTGTATATAGGCGACGTTATGGATGGCCTACGACTACAATCTTCTCCGCTGATCGCTGGCTTCTGCATGGCAGGTATGTGGCATGTCCATTCAAAGTGAAAGTTTAAATTTCTTAATCAATAATCTTGCTTTAAGCACTCATTGAACGTCAAAAAACCACCACCGGTTCACAACATGAGGCCTTTTTGTAACGATGTAAACAAAAATTCGTTGATTATAATCAGCAGCAGCCAACTTGAAAGTGCAGAGCAAGAGTCTTTTCCAAACATCCTTGTCCTCAATTTGTTCTTTGACGTTATATTAATTAGATTAGACCCATTCCATTAGGGTAGCTTTTAAGAAATGTCTGAATTACGCGGCGCACATAGATAAGAGTTTAAGAGAGAGAGAGAGAGAGATAATATTGTATATTGTCAATACTTATAAATAATTAATATAATTATTGCACCTACCAAGATTTCTCACCACGCCCCGGGTTGACTGGGAGAGAATGCCAAGCCCAAAAGGCAAGGTCATTGCAATAAAGATAAATAAAAATAAAAAACCTATATCTCCATATAAGGCATTAAGTTCTATAGCGCCGCTCCAAAAAGGATTTCTATGTGAAATAAGGTTATTTAGTCCATTTAGGTTATAAAGGTCTAAGTAAATCAAACTATTCATTATAAAAATATTCCTGTAGTTTTAGAAACACTGGCAAAACATGTCTGGACTCTATAAGTTGCGAGATGGTCCAAATTTCTTCAGCCACGTCAAGTTGTTTTAGACCCTATGTCGATACGTAAGAGATCTAATTAAACGATGTTTTGTGCGAAGTAACAAATAGATCATAGAGCCCGTATGGTAGCGTGGAAGTATTCGAAGAATTTAGTATTGAATTATCATTATGGCGTTTTACTGTTTACATAATAAGTAAGCTCAACGTTGCAACAGTTCTATCGTATAATATTTAAAAGAGTTAAGTGCACGATTGTGTATATTTCTTCTTCGACCGACTTCAAAACGGAGGAGGGTCTCAAATTCGACTGTATTTTTTTTTAATGTTTGTTACTTCAGAACTTTAGATTGAGTGAACCTATTTTCATGATTATATTTTATTTGAAAGCTGGTGCTACCCATGTCCCATATCAATTTCATTGGTATTGGATCTCGGGTTTCGGAGATATTTAGGGAACTCCAGAAAATCAATTATAAAATGCATACAGAGCGAGATATTTGAAGTCGGTTTTGTTTTTCGTTAATAATAAAATGACTACTTAGGACACATTTTAACTCAACATTCTCTAGTCCCAAACTAAGCAACACTTGAACTATGGGTACTTGAGAACTGATAAACATATTTAAAAATACTTTTTTGCAAATAAGTACATAACAGACACTGAAAAAACACTATACTCATCTCACAATAGTTTTCCAGTAGTGGGGATCGAATGCACACCCTTTTGTGCAAGAGGTAGATCACTACCAACTACCAATCGAGTTATCAATCAAAAAACTACTTGCAGTATAGTACGATTTTAATTTCACCTGATAAATTATGTGTTATGGGTGTGATTGACATGGGCAGTCACTGTAATTTTAGAAATCAATTTTATCATTACCTTCATCATCATTTCTCTCCCACAGACTGACACGAAGCACGATCCTCGGCCACCTGCATCTATCTAACATCGAGAAAGGTTATCAAGTGGCAGCCTCGTATTTGCTATTGCAGTGCAGAACGTCCCCCCATTAAATTGAGTGGTGACTGGTGACCTGTACAAATGTGCGGGAAGTCGATTTTATTCACATAAAAATGTTAATATTAAGAGTTACTTTTGTTAATAAATACTATTCTGTAATGTGTACCATCTAAACTGAAACTGAAATTCTTAAGTGATAAAAATGCATGGTCGACCTCTGAGAAATTCAATAAAAGTTATGAGGGTTTGAGAAGAAATAACAATTTTTATTTTTAATAATTTTTATTAATTTGTTTTTATTTTACTTTCTAGTGTATTAAACGTGTTTAACGAAATATATAGTTATATAAAATATAGT